GTTGCTCTAGGCTTTTCAGGTCTGTGGTGTTCGTGTCCGGGTAGTTGCGGAGCGTTTCACTCACGACGCTGAGCAACTGCAGAGCATTTGTGCTACAAATATCCTTCACTACGGTCTCACATTGTCCAACTGGGGCTGTCACCATAGAAAGCTCGTGGGCATGGGTACCGGCTGCGACGGGCAATAGCTCTGGCGGCACCTGTGGACTCATTCAAGTTTCTCACTCTAGCAGCGGGTTTCTGCCCTTCTTTCGGGCCATGACACTGCATTCCTCGAAAGAGTTCTACACAATCATGCCGCAACAGCGCCCTTCCAATGGCAAGAGAGCTGGTGTGACAATTTTGCTGCGATGACACTGCATTCAGTCAGATTGTGGACCATGAGGGCTGCACTTCTCAATATAAGTGCAAAGAGTCTGCCGGCACATCGTTTTTCCATCGTATTTCTGTGTTGCAGGAAGCAGCTGCCACGAAGCTCCAAGCATTCTGCAGAATGCTTGCTAGGTACCGTCACCCTGTAAGCATCGGACGCCGGCGTCTTTCAGCCAGTAGTGCGCCGTGACGGAGGAAGTTCCTAGACACAGCGATTTTCCTGCCAGCACGTGGAGACAACGCATCTGCAAACAACGTCTAGTCTAGATAGGCAGCTAGATACGGTTCTGCAAAACACTCAGGAGCAGTGGTGGCAAATGGGTTATATGAAAACAACATCGAGCTGATGTCGTAGCAATGTGGAAGTACTTGCGTCTCACAGTTCGCTTCGCCCACCTTCCGCATCATGGAAAGTGCTCTGAATGAACCTTCAGCGGAGGGCGGGCAAGAACCCGACTTATGATTCAATCTATATCATGTCTGATGTTGTGCCTTGTCCAACCATTGTCAGCAAAGTATTGCTTATTCTATTGGTGACCTCAGTTCGTCGTGTCCGCCTTCCCAATACATTGCAGAGGGCTTCCAGCGCCACTAAGCGATAAGAGTCGATCATCATACACCTTCACCGCCGATCCACATGAAGCAAACAGGAATGAGGCCTCAGTCTTTCTTCAAACATGCTTAGCAGGCTTAGCAAGGACACCGATCACGAAAGCCAAGCAGCCTACTGACTGACGTAGGCGGCTGACAGAAAACTGTTAACAGCCTTAAAGTAAGAATCTCGATTGCTTACCAAGGGAGCGAGGGTTGTGTCCGGGCCAGCAGGAAGCTACAGTCTCCTTCTGCCAGGGAGCATCCCCTGCAGCATCATGAGGGCCAGCCCACCAGTCCGTCTTCCTTCGTGGCATCCCGGATTTCAGGTGCGGAGTTCGGTGCTTGCACTTCGGAGGTTCAGGACCTAGGATCAATGCAGGAAGGCTTACTGCAGGAACCAGCCTGAGGCTAGTCCGAAACTCTAAAGCCCGGCGCAAGATGAGATCAGTTTCAAGTTTCAAGACTAGGTCTGGATGGCTTCGTGGGCTTTGAACTTGGCACTTGTGGTACATCTGTAGGGCTCGAGTTCACGACAAGGGAGTTTCACGACCCAACTGGTGACCCGGGCCCCTTCCATCCTGCATCTAGCACTCATTGCAGGCATATTTCCATCACAGCTGCCGCAACACGAGGACCCGTGGTGCAGACAACTCTGTAGCACAGTTATCGTTGCTTGTAAGCTGTTGTTCTGGATGTAAATGCACACATCGCCACATCGCTGTGCCTGGATGTAAATACACATCGCCACATCGCTGTGCAGGCTATTGTTACACTAGCACTATTACTCAATTATTCTTAGATTCTTCAATAGCACTATCACTACGACGATGGCTTCACCTAGCTATTTCTAGAAAATTATTGTATTCCCCTTACTAGCTGTTATTTGCAATATCCATACTACTCATCAGCATCTTGTATGTTCATCAAATATTGTTGTTGTTACTGTAAGCATCATGATTATGTTCAGAAGCTCCATGACATCACAGTCCCACTCACAAGCTTATCGAGACAGGGCCGGGGCCGGCCTGTCATGATTACGCCTCTCATTTTGGAGGCCTTGGCGGCGAGGACGCTCCTTCATGGCGGATTCGCATCTGCGAACCCTTGAGGATTTTGGGCTTTGAGGCTTCAAGGATGTATAGGGTTGAAGAGCTGGCAGGACTTCTGCAAACGCAAAGCGCAGCGACTGTTCTTGGGACGGTAGTCTCCTTGTAAGCCTACTCCGGGATTGCCTTCTACGCTCTTGTGTTGAATTTCGTTAACTGCTACTACCGCTGCTACTGCTACTGCTACTGCTACTGCTACTGCTACTCCTCCTCCTCCTCCTCCTGCTGCTGCTGCTGCTGCTATTGCTACCGCTGTGGCTGCTGCTCGCGACGACACGAGAAGCGCGAGAACGAAGCCCCGCTCCCCTCGAAGGCCTCGCAGAGCGAATGAATGCTTCGGCCAACCACCGAGCATACCAACTGCTGTCCTCTGAGCCGTACCTGGGGGAGAGAGGAAGCTTGGGCTCCCCGAAACTTTCCCAATCCGGCTTCCAGGCCTCTCCCGCATCCGTAGTCGGAAGAACGTTTCGTAGATCCTGGGCTGGACAAAGTCGGCTGGAGTCGACACACGGTGTGTAACCTATCGAGAAGACCAACCAGTTGCAGCCTGGGATCACTTGCATCATGCCTCGGCCGCACATCATTCGCGTCTCGAGAAGTCATTGCTGGCACAGCAACGGAGTCAGACCCCTTCCCAGCGCTACGGCAGAAGTACTGTTGCTGAGCTGCATGTATGAATTTAGATATGGGTGTTCAGACAACTTGATTTTTCGGAGCCCCCCGCATGGAGCTCTAGGTTGTAAGCACCAGACTGGTCTCCAGCCACGTGACCTTGTGCCAGGGACCTGTCATCGACAGCGTAAACAAAAAAGGAAGGAATGTACCGCCGTGGCAACTAAAAGCACCCCCGCTGCTACACCGAAATAGATCTGACCAGTGCCTGTGGCTTCAACATAGACTCGATCACTGCCAGACTTGATGTCATGGCCCACAAATGCCTCAGCACGACCATGAGATCATAAATTCTCCCTCTTGTTTCGCAAACGGCGTTTGAACTGGGCCGAGCCTGCAACAGCACGTTGTTGGCATCTGTGGGTAACCGTCGAGCACCTCCCCCAGCACAGGCTTCTGCAACACAAGGCCCCTTCGACTGCCGGTAGACATCTCATGTCACATTTCTGCAACCTCGCGCCCTGGTTCCGGGCTCTGCAGAAAGCAAGCAAGCCGCGTGGCACCTTTGGGGTCGACGTCTACCTCCTCCGAGGCTTCAGTTCTGGGCGTTTTGGGGTCTCGGACTTGGAGGTCATGAAACCTTGAGAGCTTGTGACCCCACTTCTTTCGGTATCACATATATCCCATGTTGGATGACACGGAATCCATGGAACCGGCAAGTCCTGCGCCAGTGTTCTAGGACACTCAGCCGTGCCGCAAACGGCAGCGAGCGTCTCGTCGTCCTTCGGCTTGGAAGAATGGAGCACCACCGGAAGCCATGATTGCTTCTTTGTGGGGCCTCCCTTCGTGTACACTTGCTTAGGACAGCTCAGTATTATGATGAGGACCCACTCAGGCGATGAGGAATAACAACTTCCTCTTTCTCTTCAACCAGGCTTGCTGCCTAGTGCTGACCCTATCCCCACCGAATCAACAGCTTCAGTGATGGTCATCAATGTTCGTAGGTCCATGGTGAGCCCTGGTAAGAAAATAGGCAAGTCGTCACACAAACCTTTTCTGCCTATGAAGTCCCCTACACCAAACAAACCTTTACAGCTTTGTGGTACCCTGATTATCGAGTAATGGTACTCCTACAACCCCTATTTACACAACACTCAGCCAAGCGGCCCAGCCCGGAAGGGCCGAATCTTTTCGGCAGCGGTCGAAGATCGCCACATCAAAGGGCCGAGATGCCAGCTCCTGGAGACCGGTCCTGGGCATCAACGAAGTCTGATAGACCCAAGGATCAGTCGTTTGAGCTTCTCATGTTGAGCTTCGTGGCCACTAGCGTTCGGACTCTGCGGATGCTGCTGGTCGTGGTCGTTCTAGTGGCGTTGGCTATGTTTTCCATGTTTGTGTAGATCGTGTCTTTGGCTGTGAATGTGTGCGTTTGCTTGTGGTAGCGGATGTTGCCGCTGCTGCTGCTGCTGCTGCTGCCGCAACCGTCGTTGTTTTCTGACTTGTCCATTCACCCGCTTGCTTGTGAGCTTTGCTCGCTCGCTTCGATTCATGTGTTGTTGAAAGCCTTTTGCTTTTCGACTCGGCTTGCACACTTTGAATCCTGCTGCAGCTGCTGCTGACGCCGTTGTCGTCGTCGTTGTTGTTCGTTGTCATATTAGTACAATGGCACACTGATGTCAGTAATTAGTGATGGTAGAAACGGTCAAGGCACCTTCGTCAGCACACTCAGGTAAGCATCACCATCACTTCCACCATGGCAGTCCATTAACTAACACCATCATATTCATCACAGTCACAACCATCATCATCATCATCAGCATCATCATCATCATCGGATCGTCATCAAAGTCCTCCTCAGTCTCCTTCGGCGCAGCAGGAGCAGCAGCACTAGCAGCAGCAACAGCATCCCCTTCCTGACTACCATACTGAACAATCATGATCGTGGCGGTTATCCTCAAAATCCTGCTTGCCGTCGTCGCCATCGATATCATCATTCCCCGATCAGCATCATGAAGCCATGCAAGCCCCAGCCCCCTTCCGTGGCCCCGCACTTGAGGCAGTCGAAGAGCGGACCCGGCGGGTCCTGCCTTCCAGGGTGCGTGTAAAGCATTCTGTGAAGCGCAATCCGGGGAGATTGTACCAGGATAGTCTTGCTAGGGTGTTGAAAGGACACTGCGGGAGTACCTGTTGACAGAAGCCAGGCTGAGCAGACTGAACATCATCGAGAAGAAGAAACCACTGCTCCGTTTTTGCTCCTGCCTTGCCGCTTCCACCAGGGCTTTGCTGAGCCCTGCGTCTCGGATGTTGGCGCTGAATGTGCACTGCACAGCACCTGCCGCAAGCAACATTGCTTCAAGCATGCCACAGGTTGCACAAACACAGCAAAACATCACAACCAGCAACTCCCAGAAAGCATCAACGTTGATGTTCGGCTACCGCTTCTTGCCTGCTCCTCGCTCCACTGCTCGGGTAACTGGCAGCATGGTCCACTTGTAGAAGTCCTTGTAAGTAAGGAATGGGCCGTATGTGCGCACATCTAAGGCCGACACACAGTGAAGCTCCGAGATGAGATGCCACCCACTGGACTTTCACTAGATGGGCCCCTGGCGTTGTAGGCACTGGCCGGAACCGACTCGCCTTCCAGCGATTCTCATACGTGGCTGTTTCAGCATGCTACTGGGCCCTCCTCCCCGCAGTTTTCCGTCAGGCTCAAACTTGTCGAGCATCTTCTGGACCTGCAAAGCTGCAGGCACTGCGGGTTGCTGGCATGCGTGGCTCCACTTCAGCTCCCCCTGCCTGCGTGCCATGGGCGGCAAGAAACTCCTGCCTTAATTGGGCAAGCGACTGAATTCTACTGCCTGCCATGCATACATAAGCTGTTGAATTGTCGGCTCAACTAAGCATTGATTATGGGGCAAAGTGGCGCCAGTGCTGCCGCAGGCTCCTCCTCCTGGACAGACGGCAGCTCGACAGATCGGTTCGTCCCTACCTCTCTGAGCTCCCACGATCTCTATCGCTTGCACTCTTTGAACACTGCACTCATGTCTTCAAGAAGCAGTCCTTGGTAGCAGCTTGACATCTTTCTTGAAAAGCTTCTTTGAATCCTGAGGCGGCTATTGAACCGAGCTCTGCAATAGCTTTCCATCAGGAGCCACTGTAGCCAAGAAACTCTCGTAAAGAGTCATGACCTGTCCGGGCAATCAGGAAAAGCGACGTTGGACGAATCAAGCTACATCTGAGGACTTACGTTTAGCAGCGACGGTGACGACATTAGTGGCTGCTATTCTGCTGCAGCGAGTCTCTACGGATCATGTCTCGGAGTCTTGAACAGTAAGAGTTAAACAAGCCAAACTCACCAAGCCGCTTCACTATTTCGCCAAACCTGAACTCCGTCGCTACTTTTCTGAAGGACGATTTGCTCGACACCCAAAAGCCACTGTCCAATACGCCAACATGCTGGAAAGGCTGCTCCGGGCTGTGGCTACTTGCTCAGAGCTCTCGCTCTTTGCCTCTTCTCGCCGTCGCAAATGCGCAAGTTCCCAATGACACAACATCATCCGAACAAGGCATCCCAATGACACAACATCATCCGAACAAGGCATCCCACTGACACGACATCATCCGAACAACGTATCCCATTCCGTGAACCCTCAGGGGAAACACCAACTCGTCCCAGACACTCTGGGAGCTTTGGCAGCGCTTGGGCGCTTCATCCTATCAGCTACGAGCCGCAGCCGGCTGCAGAGCAAAGAAGTAGGGCAACGACCTTCCGTTCAACTCAGCACTGTGCAAATCAAAGCATTGCCTGGCTTCAACTGCCAGAACAGGTAGGTACCACAGATTGTCCATGCCTGCGATGTGCTGCTCCCGGCGTTTTGATTCCAAGCGATCGACAGGGGTCGTGTGACATCGCATGTGCCTGGACCCGGAGGTCAATTCTGAATTTTTCTGAAACGGCTTACTGACAGCTTGGCCGATCCATCGGCTTCGTTCCGCAGCTGCACTTCCTACACAACGGAGAGCATAAACCTCGGTGCAGTATACTCGTCTCTGCCGCCGGATGCCGACGTTTGCATGCCATAGATAGATCGCATTTTCCCTTCAGTCTAAGCCCTTCTTCAAAGGCTTCTCTGCTTCATTAGCAGGATGTTGTATAGCACCGACTCTAAGTCGATTCTCGTCTCACCCGACTCATCTGAAGTCCTCCCTTTGGCTCCAGTCGATGGGACCGCCGGGCAGCGAGCCGATCTTCGGCCTTTGGGTATGGGTAGTTTCTCTAAATTCGGGTCCCTTCTGGGGGTCCTTTGCTTAAAGGGTGCCGTGCTATACCGGGTTCGAGTGGGAGTGGAGACGGGGGTTTCGACTTCGAGCTCGACTTCGAGTTTGTCGGAGTGGGGGGAGGGCCGGGCGGAAGGGGGCGGTTCGAGTTCGAGCTCAGGTCGGGGACGGAAAGGGGGTGGTTCAGCTTCGTTCCCAGGCTGCGAGCCAAAACCAAAACCTGCGTTCAGCGCTCTGGTGCATCGGGGAGGGACGGTACGTGCACTTTACCTCACCTGACCCGATTGGATGCTGTCGGAAGTCCAGGGCGGAAGTGAGGTGTTCGAAGCGGCCTCGGCAGTTTCGGGGACGTTGGATGCTGGAAATCTCCAGCTTTGCATGCCCTGCCAAAAAGCACATCACACATCCAGAGCTTTCAGACACGGCGAGACGGTGAAGGGGGAGTAGAAAATCACTTGCTCCTTCTAGGTGGAGTACTGTCGGTTGGGATGGGTTGATATCTTCGTCTTCCCATTTCCGAGACCCCAAATTTTCCGAGTGGCAGATCCTTGTTACAAGTACCCGCCCTTGCTGGCCTTCTGGGGAGTGCAGGCTAGCTTATGGTATATTATAGCATATTATAGTATATCATGGTATATTGTTTGAATCCTGAAATGAGGCCCAGCCAAAAAAAACAACCTGGAAGGCCCCTGTACGCCGCTTTCGAAACCGAATTCTCGGCTGCATGCTGGGACAGTGGGTTTTCAGCTGCATAGCGGGCTGCACGTCCCTGCACCAGAACCGGACACATGTCTCAGGCTCCACCAAACCGAACCGTATCTGCAACTACAATCAACATAGGCTTGAGAACAAGCCTGTTTTCACCGCATATGTAATGCCAAGTTGCTGGACGAGGCTGAACGCTCGGAGCATGCGACGCTTTCGCTGCCGCTAAGGGCTTAGGGTTCAAGTTTTGGGTTAAGTTAAGTTGGATACTCACTGCACATGCTCGCCGAGGCGTAAGACATGAAGACGGATGGCCACATGTGGTATGCAATCTCCGTGAGCCAAGAACTTGGGATCCGAACAACAAGAATCCAGAACCACGCGAATTCAGTCCGTGCAAAACCATTGCAGCTTTCTGCAGTCACTTCGAGTGCAAGACTGCAGCACGCAAGTACTCGAGGAATCGACCGACTTCCTTTTCCATTGAGATTTCGCAGGAGGGAACGTGGCATGATTTGGAGGGTCAGGGTTCAACAGCCGGTCGCCGTAACCCCAAGAGCACAAACCCACATTCTCGACAGATCGTGAGGGCTCAGAAATCAGAAACTTCTACGCATCGGATTGGTAAAGCTAGGCTCCCCTATTTGCAATTTGTGAGGTGCTAGCTGACATGGCCAAACTTGAACTTCCTCGACTTTTCAAGGAAGGATCTGAGACTTCAAGAATTTTTGATATCGGCTCTACTCAGAACCAGAAAGCTTCGAATTCAGGTACTTCATGCTGGTCCACATCTCGTGTTCCGAAAGCGCCCGGTTCCAAACAATGACCTCCATGACGCCAAAGTCCGACACCTCTTGAAGCTCGCCCTCGTTGATGAACAAGTGGAAGTCTCCGTTGGACTTCACTGCCGCATCCTGTCCGATGTTCTTCCTCTCCTGGCCCCTGAAGACAACCCCTGCGCTGTTGCCGCACATGACGAGCCAGTCGGTCAAGCCCGTGTGCTGCCCGTCGTGGTTCACCCACGTGTTGTAGTACGTAACGCCCACGCGCCCCATCCAGTGTCCGTGCAGCCAGTTTGGCTGGTTGTTCTGGAGAATGCGCTTGTTTGCTCCTCCCTCTACATAGCGGGTGACGGAGCAAATGGTGAAGTCCGGCTTCATGATCTGGCCGAAGTCTATTCCAGTGTTGGTGTCGCCGGTGAGGTATGCGACCGGAAATTTAGCTCCGTGCCCAGCCTCGACCTTCCTGGTGACGCTGCCCTTCGTCACGCGACCCTGCCAGCTGCCCACCGCGCTTTTCCAAGCTGAGTTGGCGTCCTCGCTCTTGAACCAGGCCACCATGGAAGACTGGGCAGCTGGTTGGCGCCTAACTAGCTCGGTGCGTCCTGGCCAGGAGTCTCTTATAGCTGCAATGGCTGTCTTCTTAGTGTCGGCAGACATCCAGGGGATTGCTTCAAGGATCGTAGCAACTTGCACTCCGATGTCAGCCACAGGTACCTTTACACTTGGGCTCTGGAAAGGTCCGAAACCCATCTGGACCCCCAACTCCAGGCGGTTCCCGTCGAGGAGGCCTTGGATGTGGAAGTTCGCAGCTCCCGTCTTCTTCAAGTTGAAGAGCTCGACTGCTTTCTCCTGGTCCTGCTTTCGAGCATCCTGCATTTCGCTCAAGTGAAGCATGGCATCTGCCCCTCGCATCTCCCAGGTCTTCTTGGGCTCCATGGAGTCACCATAGTCGACGGAAGCCAGGTAGAGCTCCTCAGGCTCGGGCCTCCAGTACCAGGACCCCGTCTTTTCGCCATGTCCTTCAACTTGGTCACTGCGATTGCTGTCCAGAAGCGACATGGGTTCGATTGCAGTTCCACTCTCCCATGGGACGGCATAAATCGAAGACGCATGTGTTTGGAAGCCCTTGCCCCAGTTCTTTGGCTCGAAGAACGTACCATGCCCGAAACGCTTTGCGAGCCGCGTTGTGGCGCGGAAGAGGAGGTGGCCGGCGGTTCTGATCTCCGTACGGAGGACGGACAGCATAATGTCCTCACTGCTGCCCGGCATCTGGTTCGGCCAACACACGGTTGTGATCAGCTCGAGGAGTTCTTCAGGCACAACATCGAAACTCAAGCCCACCACTGTGGCCACCACAGCCTCAATCTTCAGGGAGAAGGTAACTTTCAGGCACTTCTCGACAGGCGTCCCGCCGGTGTAGAAGGAGTAGCCCTGCCACTTGTTCCAGTTCTCCTGGCAAGTTCTCAAACCCACACACGCACAAACGAATTCTCATGCACTCGCTCGCTCAATCCCCTTACAGCTGACTGTCACACTGGCTTGGTGCGATTTGCCAGCATGCAGCCCATGTGGACCAACGATGAAAGCCCCGTTCTCCTTCATCCACGGGAGGTCGCAGGGCACGGCCCAAGGCTCCAGCTGGACGAAATCCTCCTTCGTTGCCGACGTCCAGTCCTCTTTCGTCGCCTCCTGGTGGTTGCCAACCTGAGCTCCGTTCTTGCTCCGGGGAGCAAAAGCCAAGCAAGAGCCAGAATCGGCCTCCCTGCCATTAAACTGCGTGATCAAGTTGGTGAAGTGGACGTCATCCCCAGCCTCATAACTGATCCCTGACACGTCCGAGCGAAGGACTTCCTGCTTTTGCCCCTCTGCCGAAGAGAACTGCAAGAGTGAGGGATGCATTTCTTGCGAGTGCATCTCGACGACCAGGTTGCCCCGCTGGTGGCGCACGGGCATGTTTCCGACAGGCGGAAACGCGGACACACTGGCTTTCTGGACAAGGGAAGTGCAGGCCCGTAAGGCCTTCATTGCTAAGGAAGTGGTCGCCTTTGTAAAAGTGTTCAGGGTCTCACCGATCACATCACCCAGGTTGTTCAAGAAGCTCAAGGGAGGCACCTGTTCGACGATCTTGAAGCCAAGGCATTTCGTGACGTCTTGGCCGGACTCGAAGTTCTCGCAGTGCATCAGGTCATTCCCCATAGCCATTAAGCTCTTGATGGAGTTGACCGGCGAGCCTGCAAGAACATTGAAAACAGTGTGCAGTTGCTCGGGGAGCCCATTGATGGGTGGCACGATCTCCGTGAGATAGGGTGCCACTAGTTTGGCCATGCAGTGGAACACGTTGCCTCTGTCGCAGCCGGGTGTGTTCAGAAGATCACGGATCATCG